TAAATAAATAAATAAATAAATAAATAAATAAATAAATAAATGTATTGGAAACGGTAAAGACAGTCCAATTGCAAAAAAGAGCTGCCAGGTGATGCTGAGGTCAGTTAATACTAAAAATCGGCAAGTGAGAAAGGTTGCCGTAAATGTCAGACTAAATCGACTTGTTGCACCATTGAGTATAAAGAACTCTCGTGTGTTACGATTGGCCCAATGGATGTGATTTGCCAATATTATTATGCGTTAAAGCTTCATTCGAAGAAACCCGGGTTGAGTTGTGCAGTGGTAAATCTCAAATCACCACCTGTCGAAATACCTTAAAAGCCAGTTTCATGAAAGCAATTTAATGGAAATTTATTTTTTTAATTGAGTTTAATATAAAACCTGACAGAAAAAAATAATGTTTCACTTAAATTGGTTTCGCGAAACTGGCTTTTGAGGTATTTCATCTCAGTTTATGTATGCATATTGTATTTCTGTTGAACAGGGATACGCATTCATTTTGAAATTGCCACCAACTATAAGATACATTTTCTAGGGCACATTCACTATAGATCCGGCTCATTGTTGCCACCATGGAACTTCTCATGGACATAACACTTTAGTTCGGTTATTAAAGGCGGCAAACGACTACAAAACGGTTGTCTTAGCCAATGAATGTGCCAGTACAAATCGTAAATGTGGATTGTTAGAGAAACCGTTGGACCAACATGTTTAAATTAAAAATTTAATTTATGGCATAGTATTTTATGCATTTTTTTTAATCTTTGTACCAGGGACATGAACCGGATGAAAAATTTGGTCGGTTCGGTTCAGCGGTTCGAACCGTTTTTCCCATTCTGGATTGGTTCGCCAAAGCGGTTTTTTGGTCTTTGAACCGGGATTTCAGTTCGGTTCAATGGTTCGGAAATCTAAAAAATAACGCGCAAGTTCAAGTGTCAAGTGCAACAACGCGCAAGGTTAAGTGTTAAGTGTCTATCAAATGAGATGGGTTGCCTTTACATTTGATATTGCCACATGGTATGTATTACCATATGTATTAAACAAAAACAAAAAAGTGGGTAAATTTATCTATTGAAAATTGGCTGAAACGAACAATTAAACCTTTATGAAAAGTGGCTGAGTTTTCGGTTCGGGTAATGGTTCAGTTAATTAATAGAAAAAAAAACGGTTTTCCGGTTCAAAACCGGTTCACGTCCCTGGTTTTCCTGATACCCTCAGAGAGACTTAAGGAAGCAAAATTAAAGGCATAATGTCTCTATTTAAGATTTTGTGTCAAAATAAAATGTGCAATCGAAATATCCAAATGAGAACGGTTGCGCGTACATGAAGATGAAAATGGAGAATTTTGTAATTTCAGTGCAGGCTTTTGAGTTTTAGATTTGATGTCGTGTAAGTTTAACGCATCTTATCAGTTAAAATGAGTTAAGCCGTTTTTTCAATCATCAAAGTGAGACTAAAATAAATACATATTTGCTGATTCCTAAAACAGCATTAATTATTTTATTTTTAAATATGTGATATACATTGTATATTTAAGCGTTTTTATGATATGTAATGCATCAAAATCTCTCTGCCATAATTCCAGGCATAATGTCTTTAAATCTGTAAACCTTTATGAAAAGTGGTTAGGTTTTAGGTTCGGGTAATGGTTCAGTTAATTAATAGAAAAAAGCGGTATTCCGGTTCAAAACCGGTTCACGTCCTTGATTTTCCTGATACCCTCAGAGAGACCTTACGAAGCTAAATTAAAGGCATAATGTCCCTATTTAAGATTTTGTGTAAAAATAAAATGTGCAATCGAAATATCCAAATAAGAAGGGTTGCGCGTACATGAAGATGAAAATGAAGAATTTTCTAATTTCAGTGCAGGCTTTTAAATTTTAGATTTGATGTCGTGTAAGTTTAACGCTTCTTTTCAGTTAAAATGAGTTAAGCCATTTTTTCAATCATCAAAGTGACACTAAAATACATACATATTTGCTGATTCCTAAAACAGCATTAATTATTTTACTTTTAAATGTATGATATAGATTGTATATTTAAGCGTTTTTATGATATGTAATGCAACAAAATCTCTCTGCCATACTACTTTATCATCAAGTTTAAATTGAAAGTTTATTATTATAAGTATTTACCACTTTCTAATATTTCCTATTTATAAACCAGAATCCGCATTCATAAATGTAAATAGTATTAAATATACACTCAATGATAATTTCTTTTTCAGAAATATTAGAAATTAAAAATTTCGCTTTATGCTTTCCTAATAGAAAAAAGCAACAGAAAGGTCTGTAAACGCATATTGTGTGCACATTTTTACGCTTATGTATTTTGGTTTTCTATTACAAAAAATACACCAAAAACCAAAGCTTTAAAAAATATATTTAAAAATCATAAAATAACGTAAGTGACTTACATTTTGCCTTAATAAAAAATGAGAGGAAAAATTACAAATTATCATTGATAATATTGTATAAGATAAAAACAATTTTCGCTTTATTTATAACTCAAGTCATAAGATTGTAATAGACTCTGTTAAGTGGCTAGATACCAACAAAAAAGAGGAAAACAATATAAACTTTATCGTGAGTGGTACTAATTTTTTATATAGAAAGCACCCTTTTACACAACAAATATGTACGATTATATAAGTTGATGATTATACGATTATATACATTTGTAATAAATTGATTCTAAAGCAATTTTGTATTTGTTTGCAAGTAATAAAGCAATATCCATTGTGATTATTGCTAAAAAATATTGGAGGCTTAGCATTTTTATTTATCTATGGGCCAATTTCACAATGCGCAGTTAACTCAGAATCGGGAGGTAACTACAGAATTTTGTACTGGAAATCTCTAGTTAACTGTCGATTCTGAGTTAACTACGCACTGTGAAATTGGCCCTATATATTAATACGCTAACATGAATTTTGTCTCCGTTCGTTTGGTGATTCTACCGAACCGATTTTCAAACCAAGAACACCATTGGAAAGACATTTTTCTGTAGATGAGCAAAGTTTTTATGGTTTCAAAATTGATTGAAAATTACGGCCACAGCCGTCGTTTAAACATTTCCGTATTTGTATATATGTTGCTGCAACATGTTCCATTTGACATGTTTCGCATGTTGCTTCACTTCGTATTTGAAATTAAGCTTTGAAATAAAGATAAATATGAAGATGAAGAAATAAATGATAATGATAAAGTAAAAAAAAAAGGCAAAAGTGAAGATAAAGACGAAAATGGAGACAATGACATATATATTCGCAGGGCTTGGGGGCCTGCGTTAGTTGTGGGCGGCGGAGCGGCCAATGCCTGGGGGTTGCTGGCCAGGTGGTGTGGTCAACCGGGAGCGATGGGTTGATTTTCCTGGGCGGCGCTGAAGGCAGTCTGGAAATGTCGGAATGACGTCGGCGTGTAGCTGGCGGCTGTACGGCACTGCCGGACGTTTTCGCACTAAGGACGCTCTGGATGGAGCACGGGGACACGCAAACGACAGCGGCTGGAACGTGGTGGCACTAATAGGGCACTATTACTAGAGCGACCGTTTCAACGCCCGTTTTGTTAAGTTGGAGTAGGCTCAACGAAATAAAAACACCGAACTGATTTCAATTTAGGTTGAGAACAACGTAGGTTTATTTGGTTCGTATTCAATTCGCGTTCATTAATTTTGCTTCGAGTTACAAATTTTCGGGCAGACCGAAGATGCGGAAGGTAAGTATACCGGCAAAAAATACAAAATTCTTAACAATACAATTTCTCCTCTGATCCGTCCACGAGATAGATATGAAGTATGTCTATAGATATGTTGTTTTGACAGCTGGTGATCGTTCAAGTGAGCGAGTAGCGCACGCGTTGCCAACTACCCGGTTGGCTGATGGGGGTTTTCACGGTGCGAGTTAATTTTTATGAGTTCAAAAGTTACAATTCGTAGAAATATTTCAAGTCTAGCTAATTCAATAAATACAAATGGTTAATGCGGTGTGCGTGCGCTAGTCACTCACTTGAACATCCTGCCCCGCCTAGGCGCGCTAGACGGCTAGTGCCACTTTCAGCTGCTCCAGCGCTCTAATGGCCTCATCCATAAGCCGATTTGCCATCTTTTCTCGGAATGCAGCGGTATGGAGCCCTGTTGCCGAACGTTTGACGGTGCGTGGTTGTGGAATGGTGGCTGCAGTCGGATTGTAGCGATGGGTAGCGGCCTGGGTAGGTGGGTTGCGACGATCGCGAGCGTTTGAGCGGGAGGCCGGTGTCGGAGGTGTTTGAGTTGGAGGTGCGGTGGTACGGCGATGTGGCTGTGGTGGCGGCGGGGCCCGATGAAGCATCGTGTGGTGCGGCAGTGCACATATCCTGCACGTGATCTGGGATGTGCATTCGCTGGTAGCGTGCGACAGTGCCAGACAGTTGGTGCAGTAGTTATGGGCCCGCGCCAACAAGTACCGCTGCGCTGGCTGCATCCTTCTAAAGAGCGGGCATGTTCGTAGCGCGTGGTGACGCGCGCAAACTCGGCACTTCTGATAATCAGGGCTTGGGCGCCCCCCGCGGTCGCTAGCGGCCACAAACACCTGCGAGCGGAGTGAAGTTCTTGGTGCTGGTGTGGGTGCTGAATCCATTCACGCCTGTAAATAGTTGTGTAGATATATAATTTTAGTGGGACGTATATCGAGTATCGTGGGTCATGAGACAGAGAAGTATATAATTGTTATTTTGGGGAAAAGGCGCGTATGGTGATTGAAGGCGAGACAAGTTTACGATCAAGCGGTTTGTGGCATAAGTGGTACAGAATCATGATGATGGTGTAGGGTTACTCGGTCGCATTGGGACTGAGTGGAAGTTCGGCCGGTGGCAAAAAACATAATTTAACTATCGGCCGTGTGAGAATGCCGGTTTGAGTGCGTACCTCGACAACACGAATGTGGCCATCGGGGCCGGGCCGTGTCCTTTCGATGCGTCCGAGGCGCCACTCAGTGGGCGGAAGCGTATCGTCGTTGATGAGGACGCACTCGCCGACTTTCGGCTCAATACGGGTGTCTTTCCATCGGTGCCGTTTGTGCAGGTCCTTGAGATAGTCCTCTTTCCATCGTCGGCTAAACTGATGGTGTAGAACTTTGACCTTTTCCCACCGATTGAGTAGAGATAAGTTTTCATGGTTCGATTCAGGAAGAGACAACCGGGGGGATCCCTTAAGGAAATGCCCGGGGGTGAGTGCGGTAAAATCTGAGGGGTCCTGAGATAGGGGAGAGATGGGTCGTGAGTTTAACACGGCTTCTATTCTGATTAATAGGGTGGTAAACTCTTCGAAGGTGAATTTATGTGATCCGGCAGTCTTCTTGAGATGCGTTTTGAAGCTTTTGACTGCGGATTCCCATAAACCACCCATATGAGGGGCGCTGGGGGGAATAAATTTCCAGTTTATACCTTGAGCGGCATATCTTTTGACGATTTCCCGGGATACTTCTTTCGAGAAGGTGATAAACTCCTTCTCAGTGGCTCTTTTGGCACCGACAAAGGTTTTGCCGTTGTCACTCATCATGGTGGCGGGATAGCCTCGCCGGCCAACAAAGCGAGCAAATGCAGCCAGAAAGGCCTCTGAAGTTAAATTCGAGCACAACTCAAGGTGAACCGCTTTTGTCGTGAAGCATACAAAAACGGCCACGTAGCCTTTCACGAGGGTGGGCGATCTTAGCATGGAAGCCTTCACCTGAAAGGGGCCAGCAAAATCAACACCCGTTGTGGTGAAGGGCGGAGCGAAGGTGCATCGTGAGGGTGGCAAGGCTGCCATTATTTGTGAGCGCATTTGCTGCTTGTGGACAGTGCAGGGTTTGCATTGAAAAATGCACTTTTTTATGAGTGGCTTGAGCCGAGGGATATAAAACTCCTGTCTGATCGCCTGCTGCATAAGACGGGTTTCGGCGTGCAAGAGCAGCTCATGCAGGAAGCGTAAAAAGAGTGCAGCATATCGGGATTTCTCGGGAATAATGATGGGGTGGCGTTCATTGTAGCTTAGCGTTGAGTGCGCCAGTCGACCGTTCACACGTAGAAGTCCATCTTTGTCCAGAAATGGGTTTAAGGTGAGAAGCGGGCTCCGTTTATCGATCGGCTTCGAAGCTAACAAATTCCTCTTTTCATTGGAGAAATATCGAGATTGAGTTAAGGCGATGAGCTGGACTTTAGTGTTTCGGAAGTCATCGTGCGCCAGAGGTAAAGGGTGAACTATTATGTGGCTTGTTCGGGTTTTCAGAGTCCGTATGAATCGAAAAACGTGAGTCAAAACCCGGAGTGCGCGTGGGAAGGAGGAGAAACGATCCAGAATGTCGGGTTCTTCTTCGGTGGTGTGTAACGCTTCAATTCGGCGTACTTCGGGTGGATTGTTGATTGTGCGTCGTGAAGCTTTCGGCCAAGATTCCGCGGGGCTGGTGAGCCATTCCGGACCCTTCCACCACAGTGAGGAGGCTGCCAAGTCGAGAGGTTTACATCCTCTTGTACCCATGTCGGCGGGATTATCGTGAGTTCGTACATGCCGCCAGGTGGCATTTCCGACCAGATCGATTATTTGCGCGATTCGATTCGATACGAAGGTTTTCCAGGTATGGGGTGGCTTTTCCAACCATGAGAGCACAATTTCGGAGTCAGACCACAAAATCAAAGCTTGCGGGTGGAGATTGAGCTGAGATTGGACGACCGACACTAGTTTGGCTAGAAGAAGGGCTCCACATAGTTCGAGACGTGGTAAGCTGGTGGTTTTTAGGGGCGCCACTTTGCCTTTAGAGACTAGGAGGTGACACGTTATGTTTTCTTCTCGTATCGCTCTGACGTAAATATTGGCGCAATATGCCTTCTCAGACGCGTCGCAAAAACCATGCAGCTCAACAGGTTGGCCTGGAGAATAGTTCACCCAACGAGGAATTTGGATTGCTGTTATGGCTTTTAAGTTGTTCGCGAACTGCGTCCACTTGACGAGACGGATGGGTTTTACCTGTTCATCCCAGTCGGTTCCATCAAGCCATAGCTCCTGCAAGAGAATTTTGGCTTGAATCAATTTCGGCGCTAGCCATCCTGCGGGGTCGAAAAGTTTGGCGACAGAGGAGAGGATTTGTCGCTTCGTGCTCGCTGTGGTTACTGGGATGGACTCAACGGTATATGAGAATGCATCTTTTATGGCATTCCATTGAATCCCGAGCGTTTTCGTCGTACTTGCCTTTTCGAATTCGAGAAACTGTGAATCGAGCACGTCGGCGATGGGAACGGTTTTGAGGATATCAGGATGGTTGGCCGTGATTTTCTTGAGGGGGAAGCCTGCCGACAGAAGAGCTTGTCTGACTTGAGAAAGGGATTCAGAGGCTGAGAGGATAGAGTGCCCACCCGAAAGTATGTCGTCTACATATGTTTCGCTCATTAGTATTGGGGACGCCATCGGGAGTGTGTCTTTTATATCTTTAGAGAGTTCGTGAAGGGTGCGTATTGCGAGATAAGGGGCGCAGTTGAGACCAAACGTGACGGTTTTTAGTTTGAAATCTTGAATTGGACCTTTTGGGGAGGAGCGAAATATGATTCTCTGGTAATCTTGGTCCTCATCGTGTAATAGTATTTGGCGGTACATTTTTTCTACATCGCCATTAAAGACAAATTGGTACGTGCGCCATTTGAGGATTAATAGCATCAAATCGGGTTGGAGGGTTGGCCCGGTGTAGAGGACATCGTTTAACGAGTTACCGGAAGTTGATTTTTTCGATGCATTAAAGACAACACGCACCTTTGTCGTTCTTTTTTCAGGTTTTACAACCGCGTGGTGGGGTAAATAAAATGACGAGTATTTGTTTCCTGAGGATTTCTCATAGGAAGTTGTTTCTTCCATATGACCTAGTGTTATATATTCCTCGAGGACTTGGTCGTACTGGGATTTTAGCTCGCCTTTTTTGAGAAGATTTTTCTCCATACTGAGGAATTGCTGGAGAGCTGGGGCACGGGATCGACCTAAGGTGAGTTGGTCTGGGAAACTGTGCTTAAATGGGAGTCGCACTTCGTAACGACCATCAGATGTGCGTGATGTGGTGGATATATAAAAGTCTTCACACACTCGGTCCTCAGAGTTGAGAGATTTGGGAGTGGGGATTTCTTCCAGTTCCCAAAATTTTCGAAGTTGGGAATCGAGATTCTCATTTGAGACTTCGTCTACTTGGGTCGAAAACGAGCTTATTTGATTGGGGACTTGACCACTAAGGATCCACCCAAATATGGTGTTTTGTGCTAATAAGTTTTTGGAGAGTTTTTCAACCCCTTCTAGCACAATTTGTGGGATCAGGTCGCTGCCAATGACTAAGTCTATTTGGGATGGGGAGTGGCAATTGGCGTCTGCTAAGGTGAGATGAGACCATTTTTCCCGTTGTTCTTGAGTGGGTTGGAACTTGGGTAGCAATTTGGTTAGCTGTGGGAGGACGATTGCTTGTGCTTTAATCCGTGTGGATAAATCGTTTGAGACAAGAACCAGAGAGCATAATTTTTTCGAGGTTTGGACTACCCTTCCACCCATTCCTGAGATTTCGAAATTGGAGGTTCGACATGGTAGTCTCAATTTGAGTTGCGCTTTGGAGGAGATGAAGCTCCGTTCTGAGCCCTGATCAATGAGGGCTCTTAGTTTGAAGAGTTCCCCTCTGTGTTCAACGGAGACGATTGCCGTCGGGAGTAGTACTTTACTTTCATTTTCGGAGTAGAAGGATTGTACCTGGGACTTATTTGAACACGAGGGTTGCTCGTCTTGTTCTTCCAGAGACTGGGGAGTTTGGAGACTGGCACTGGTGGAGGTGGTAGTTGCCACTTGAGATGAGGCCTTATGCACTCGGGGAGTTGATGAATTTTTTGAGAGTGCGTCATCATGGAGTGATGAGTTGTGCCGTTCTTGGCAATGAGCGCAATTGTGAGGGCTTCTGCAATCTTTAATTAAATGCGATTGGGATAAGCAGTTTAAGCACATGTGATTATCTCTCACAAATTTTTTCCGATCCTGAATTGACAGTTTTTTAAAGCGAGAGCAGCTGTAAATGGGATGCTGAGAGGTTTTGCATAATGCACATTTATACATTGTGCGCTGCTCTGTCATATGAGATTGGATCTTTGAATGGGATTTATTGTGAGTGTCATGTGAATTATTGCTTTTAAATGCGTATGGGTTTTGTTTGGGGTAGCTTGTATGCGGGGGGATCGATTTAACCTTGGCTGGGCGCCACTGATCTACTCTTTCTACCACCTCATAGCGAGTAGTCAGAAACTGGTTCATCTGGGACCAGTTGGGGAGGTCTTTTCTGGAGATGAGAGATTGTTCCCACAGAGTTACTGTGTTCTCCGGAAGTTTGGAGGTGACCAGATAGATGAGGATGGGGTCCCAACTCTCTGTCGAAACTTGCTGGGTAGCGAGGATTTGAAGGCAGTTATTTACAGAAGATTGTAATCTCTGTATATCCTCGCTATTTTCAACTTGAATTGGTTTCAAATTCATTAGGGTTTTTATTTGGTTATCTACCAAGACTCTGCGATTTTCATATCGTGCTCTTAGGGCTTCCCATGCCAGTTCGAAGTTGTCATCACTTAACGGGAATTGTTTGACTATTTGGCCGGCTTTGCCTTGCGTTTTGTACCGGAGGTGGTACAACTTCTGAGCATTTGTGAGTTTTGGGTGGTTAATGTAGACCGCGGTGAACATGTCACGGAAGGACGGCCATTGTTCATAACCCCCGTAAAATATCTCAGTGTCGCAAGGAGGGACTTTTAAGCCGAAGCCTGTTTCTTCTTTGGGTTGTGATGTACCGGCATGGGGAATGGGATCACTCCTTTGTTTGAGTAACAGAAGTTGGTCACCTATCTGGGCTTTTGTGTCTTCATACATTATAAGACAAGACCTGTATTTATTGTACGCGGCTGACTTGAAATCTTCGGGGAGATCCTGATCTTCAGTTTCTAAGACCGTATCGTAAGAGATTTGGACCCGATTCCAAAAGTTATCGCAATTATTGTCTTTTATTTTCAGACTTGACTCGGTGTTGTCTTGGATTGGGGTGGACTTGAAACGAGTACAGTAGTCCATGAAATTATCTGTTTCTGATATAAATTTAATAGAAGCGAACGACTGCTTGGATTTCTTCGTGGCTGACTTTCCACTTGTACGCGTTGAGCGTTGGGACTCCGTGGAAGTACCTTGGGTTTTTTCATCGTCACTCATCTTTGGGCTTTTTGATTTATCTATTTGAGGGGCACCAAGCATTTGTTAAATCAAGAGAAAAGGGGAGTGAGTTGATCAGTTATGAGAAATAAAATGACCGCAATATAGTGTTCGCAACACGAGAAGTAATAGAAAAATTTGTCGCTTCGAAATATGTGTTCGTACCACTGTACCCGCTTGAGCAAAAAAATTCAATCACCCTACCGCACTTTTTGTTATATTTGTATATATGTAATGTATATATGTGTAGGTATATAAGTATATATTAATATTTTATGAGGGGTCAGAGATAAGCTGATATTTGTGGAGTTTATTAACTTTTAACTATTTAATATTTAAGTGAACGTTTGTGTGTGTGCATATATGTATGCGCGCTCATATATCAAAATTTATGTGTGGAAAAAAATGAGAGAGAAGTAAATACTCGCAGTTATTTTCACTTTGTTCGAAAGTACATATAGAAATATGCACCGTTTGCTGATTGCGCGGGNTGAAAGTACATATAGAAATATGCACCGTTTACTGATTGCGCGGGAAAATATGAATATTTATATAGGAGATCTCCACAAATATTGCTTCTTTTATATATATATGTATGTGTATTTTTTTTCCTTTTTTGGGCGTAAGTGGGGTTAAAAGAAATTCGTTTCTTACTTACGGCTTTATTTGGGCTTTGGGTACTTATGTGGTTGATGAAGATGATCCGCCTGGAGTGTTGCGGGCTGGTGTCAAAAGGAGGCGACGAAGGACCAAATCGCAGGGCTTGGGGGCCTGCGTTAGTTGTGGGCGGCGGAGCGGCCAATGCCTGGGGGTTGCTGGCCAGGTGGTGTGGTCAACCGGGAGCGATGGGTTGATTTTCCTGGGCGGCGCTGAAGGCAGTCTGGAAATGTCGGAATGACGTCGGCGTGTAGCTGGCGGCTGTACGGCACTGCCGGACGTTTTCGCACTAAGGACGCTCTGGATGGAGCACGGGGACACGCAAACGACAGCGGCTGGAACGTGGTGGCACTAATAGGGCACTATTACTAGAGCGACCGTTTCAACGCCCGTTTTGTTAAGTTGGAGTAAGCTCAACGAAATAAAAACACCGAACTGATTTCAATTTAGGTTGAGAACAACGCAGGTTTATTTGGTTCGTATTCAATTCGCGTTCATTAATTTTGCTTCGAGTTACAAATTTTCGGGCAGACCGAAGATGCGGAAGGTAAGTATACCGGCAAAAAATACAAAATTCTTAACAATACAATTTCTCCTCTGATCCGTCCACGAGATAGATATGAAGTATGTCTATAGATATGTTGTTTTGACAGCTGGTGATCGTTCAAGTGAGCGAGTAGCGCACGCGTTGCCAACTACCCGGTTGGCTGATAGGGGTTTTCACGGTGCGAGTTAATTTTTATCAGTTCAAAAGTTACAATTCGTAGAAATATTTCAAGTCTAGCTAATTCAATAAATACAAATGGTTAATGCGGTGTGCGTGCGCTAATCACTCACTTGAACATATATGAATTATATATATGAATATATGAATGAATATATATGAATTAGGGTAACTGAAAGGGTAAGAAAATTTCTTGAATTTATAAAGTGAAACTTCTTTAGCGGCAGTTGGTTGGTTGGGAGTAAATTGTCAAATTCAGGGGCGGTTTAGCGGTTTGAGAATAAAAACAAAAACAAAGATGCCTAGAGGTACAGGCAAAAATGAAGATCAAGGTAAATTTAAACACTTTAAGGTAAAGGTGAAGAGGAATATGCAAAAATAAAGATAAACATGAAGAAAAGGATGAGGATGAAGACTGATATTGTTATCGATATTTTTATCGATATTGTTATCGACACTGTTATTGAATAAATAACCGCTATTGTAATCGATATGATAATCGATATTGTTATCGATATAATAATCGATATTGTTATCGATACAATAATGAATATTGTTATCGGTATAATAATCGATTAAATACTTGATTTTGTTATCGACTTAGTTGTTGTTGTTGTAGCGGCTACAACAACCCCGCCCAGATCGGTTGGTATCTCAGTCGTTGTCGTCAAGTTCCACTAACGGCAACCCTAGGAAGCGTGCAGCTTCTGCGGGGTTTGCCCATAAGGACAAGGT